ACAGAGTTGATTACTGCCTTACAACTTATATATGAATATATGCATATATATACATATATAAAAACAGATAAAAGACAGAGGTATTGCTGTGCTAGTGTCTAAAATTACACCAAATCATGTACTGCATGTGTCAGCACCAAGTAATTCCCTGTGGCAAAAATATTGGTCAACCACTGCTGTACTCCTCCACTTACCTTGATGTGTGACAATGAAAAGATGCTCATCATGGATTTTTTTCCCTTTCTTCTCACTCTCAAGTTCTTGAGCATTCAGTATTTTGTTCAGCTTAAAAATAAAGGTAAGAACTGTTCTGTAAAGCCCTCCATTCTACTATTAGTAATGGCAGTTTTACTGCATACAGCTAATTTTTAAGAATAATATTTTTTAAAAATACACAGGTTATATGAGAAGTTTGACTAAATTGTCTCAGGTATGACTTTTTAATTAGAAAAAGAGACCTTGCCTGAAATGGAACATTTACATACCTCAAGTAATAAAGTTTTGAAAATAATTTTAGGGATAATTTTAATTATATAAATATATATAAGTATAGTTAAAAAAATAGAGAAAACAAAATATCCAGCATCTTTTGCAGATTTTATATCTATACTGTTGTGTCCCATGAAAATAGAGTTCCTATAGTAATATTCTGAGTAATCATACAACATCATCAGCATAAGAGCTGAGTTGAGGCAATAATAATAATAATTTCAATTCTGACAGTATTCAATTTTTTCATAGCCAAATTTACAATCTAATCACAGCTGTTTCCAAATAATCTTTGCAAGATTATAAAGAGTATGTCAACAAATCAAAGTTGACATACTCTTACTTTAGTTCTAAAGCACAGAGCAATTCCCCTCACTTCATGCTGTCTGGAAAAAAGAAAACAAAATAGCTTCTGGATTCTTTTATTACCTATGGTATTTTATTTTACTTATTTCTTAATTACTTCTAGCTTTTACAGTTTTGGTTTGGGGTTTTTTTATGTTCCCCCCTAGTCATCATCCTACCCCCTATATTTCTGAAATAGATTTTTCCAGGCAAGTATTCTGGGCTTTCAAGGACATCACACAGAGCCTGCTGACATGCAGAAATTGTTGAGTGATTATTGTCAGACCAAAGAAAGCTTTTACTGGTATGTCATTTTACAGTTTAAGCCTGCATATATGGATAATTCCCTAGCAACCCCCCCCCAAATATCCCTATTCCTTGTAGTTTGAGAAGTCTTCCCATAGTCCACCTTGAGGTCTCAGCTGAGACGGGCACCCGTGCCTGTCACACCTGGAGATGTCTCAGTAAGTGACTGCTGGGAGAAGTGTCAGGCTCAGGTGCTGCCTCAAGTCATAAGAGGCAGGACAGCAAACATGACAGCAAACCCGGACAGCAAACATGAAATCCTTAAACTTACTTGTAGGTATTCTCCATAGATAAGCCCACCTTTGCTGGCTTTATTTATTCCTTCTTGAGATTTGTCATCATTTTCATCTTCCAAAGATAGCTTGTTAAAATTAAATCTAAGAAGAAAATGAAGTAAATATGTTAACCGTTTAATTAAAGAATTATGAATATACCTGCATTTTACTAACAGATGCATCTACAATTCAAACAATGCTTTATTTTGATAAACAGAGCAAGTAAAGCAGGCTTTTGATAAAAACTGAAATTCCTCTTTTCACAATAACAGCTGGTAACATCACATAAAATAACAAGTGCTCAGACAAGTCCTTGTATGATCTGTACTCATTTAGCAATAGCTAAATGATTTAGCAATAGCTAAATTATAGCTACAGCTGTCTATTTGTTGATAATAAGTAATTCCTCTCTGAGATTTCATATTTTGCACTAACACCTTGTCATTTGAATTGAATTTCTAAAGCAAAAACAGAGAGAGGAAGGACTCACAGGTAATTCTTCCCCGCAAAGGGGCACTGGCTCATGATTTCAGGATCCAAACTTGCTGAGCTGCACACCGGGGAAAATACCCTGTTAGTGTTCCCAAACCTGCTGCAGCTCCCTTATATGTAGCCTCATCTCACTGCCAAGACCAACCCCCAAATTCCTCTCTTTAGCCCTCAGCCCATCCCCACTATTCAATAATGACAGAAACTATCACAGCACAAAGGTCAGGATGTTCATGTGTTGTTGGCTCTCCAGGACTGTGTTTTTCTCTGCCAGTTAAAAAGATGAATGGATGACATGCTTGTTTTGTCCTATGGCACAAGCTTTTTGTGTTTTTTACTGCAAGGCTTCCACCAGTTTCTTCTTTGGATGCAGGTGTAAGGTGTAGTGTGTAAGGTGTAAATCAGTGAGAGGTCTGTGTGTGATAAAAAGACAATATTTAATAAATGCAGTAATTGTTAAAGTCTTGCGGCCTTTTGTATCAGGATACTATTAAGTTTCAAAAATCAGACACATAGAAAGAGATAAGGAGGGTGGGGGAAGAGGAAAACATGTTTCTATGGCAGACTAAATAGTGCTTATTCAAAGAGATTTCAAGTAATATATATAAATTTAAAAAATGTACACAGATTAAGTAAAGTACTAAAAGCATCATGAACCTCTCATGCTGGTTTTCCAACTGTTTAATTCAGAATAATATCTTAATTTTGTCTCCTTGCACAAAAGTTTTCAGTATCATTTATTGACAAATGTTACTCAATTCTATCTGGTCATCAGCTTAACACACAATGAAGTAACATGTAACCAGAATATACTTCTTTTCTGCCTGCCAGCCCTTTCTGAAAAAATGTTAATGCTCAGTTTCACTGCAAACAAAACTACAGGACCTCTGTGACCCTGGATCATTTGCTGTCTGCAAGAGTTATTCTGCTTAGTGGTGTCTGTTTGGTGCTTCAGCTGTTCCAGTCACTTAAGAGTAGTTATTTCATAAAAAAATACAGATGTAGGATGTGGGTGATGGGATGGATACCCTGTTCAGCCAGATGTGGACAACTAAAGATGAAAGTGAGGACACCAGAAATTAAATGTTGAAAGCTACTTTTCACGTTTTTGGATGCAAACAGCTTGATTTACAAATGCAGAAATCTTGCACATCCATATATCTCAAAAGAAAAAGAAGGTTTATCTTGTCATTCCTGTATATCTTCACCTGAAACATCCAGACTGAGCCTGCATAATGAAATCAAGCTGCTATCCTTTCTCATGGCACAAAGAAAGAAAGAATGTGAAACTAGTAAAAATAAGGACAGTTGGAAAATATTGAACATTTTACCTCACAAAATATGTTAATGTGTGTTTTCTTGTGCAGTTGTATTTTCTTCTGTGAAATACAGAGAATTATAAACTTCCGGTGCAATGATCTCTGACAGGCAACCTTTACGTGGCCTACCCAGGAGGCAAATGACTTTGAAGTATCAGAGCCCTTTTACATTCTGTACTTAACAAAACATTAACTCCCTATTTTGGAAGTAATAGTACCATGAATTCACTCAGGGTTAGCAAACTCACTTGAAATCTAGCTGGGGATATTGTCTAAGCAACAACTATACAAACTCCCCTTCCAATTCAGCAACAGACAGGCTTCAGTCAGTCAAATAAATCAGCCAGACAAGAGCAATTTAGACAGTTTTTTCCAGTGTTACCAACACGTCAAACTCACTTGTTTGAGGACCTCATAGCTGATTGGTCCCAAAGCTGTAAACTGACCAATTCCTAAAACTGGGTAATATTATGGATAATACTTGCATCCATTCATTTAACAAAATTTAATCTCACAGTAGCTGAATTCAGCTCTCTAACCATTGCAACAACAATAGATCTCAAACTCTCCAAGATCAGTGGATAAAGATATCTTGATGAGGACTTGAAAACCCCTGAAATAAAATCACAGACAATGGTTTTCAGCATAGACAAGGTCATTCCTCTTCCTGGCTGCCTTCATCTGATCCCAGTAAGGCTTCAAAGTATGTAAAGAACTTGGTAGTAAAATAATTTAAGTGGCTTGTATGACCTGTTTTGAAACTGTCTGTTGGCAGTGTAGATGATAGCACAGCTTACAAGAGCCCTCAGGTTAGCATCAGCTCAGAGCCTTGAACACTGGCATGGCTGCAGACACCCTTAGAAATAAATGTGCTTCTGCCATGCTTCTCAATTTTGGGGGTCACTGTAGGAACCTGATTTTTATTTTAGTGTCCTTCATATCCTGACAGAGATTTATAGCCACTTTGTCATCTCTCCTTACTAGCATAATCATAAACAAGTCTTGATGAAAAAAGCTCTTTAGTGTGAATATATCCAAAAGCAAAACATAACCTTAATTTTAAATTATTGTGTTGCTTTTTTCTCAAAATGTACCTTCATTTCCCTTTTTCATGTTGAACACTTAAAACCACAAAGAAGCAGATCTAACCACACACATAACTTGCTGTTCATGCTGCAGATGACTAAGGCTGTGAAAACCAAGAGTGTGTGTGCCCTTGAGCTTTTATTTACATATTTGTTAATTTACATGAAAGTCAGATAAAAAGCCTTCTTTTCATCACAGAGGACTCTAATCTTCAGCAGACAGTGAGAATGTTCTGTTTTGTGACTGGGCTGAATACAAGACAAACAACATGTACCAGAAAAAAAAAAAAAAAAAAAAAAAAAAAAAAAAAAAAAAAAAAAAAAAAAAAAAAAAAAAAAAAAAAAAAAAAACAAAAAAAAAAAAACCACAGCTTCCTAGAACTGCTCTTTGTGGCCTTCAAATGAACTGTCACAGCCTTTGTGACCAAGCATGGGAATGGTTCACCACCCCTCCTAATTCACCCTGGCCCCCTTTCCATGTACCTCCCCTCCCCAGGTGGATGTAGGGTGGCTGGACTGGCTGCAGTAGGGCTGCAGAGCAAAGTGACCTTACTCGGGCTGAGAGAAGGGATTCATGTGGGCAAAAGGGAGCCTCTCTCCAGCCTGGCCGAGGGCTGGAGGCAAGGCAGAGGTGGCCTGCAGCTGATCTGTGGATACAGCCAGAGCCAAGAGTTTGCATGGTCTCACTGTGGAGCTCTCTGTCTGAAACATTATGCTCTGATGAGGACAGGTAAGTAAAACTGACTTTCTACATACTGTCATGAATCTAAAAAAAAAAAGTATGAATTGGAAGTGACCTGTTCACCCAAGTCAAATCTCAAGTTTTCCTACATGAAATCACTTATGGAGAAGAAAAAGTACACACACAAGTGGTTTGGACAGTGTCACCCATTCTACTGCTCAAACTCTCATCCTGATTACAAAATCATTACAAATCAATTTGTTTGTCTAGTGTTTGCTAACTTGAAGACAGAGCTCAGAGAGCTTCTGACTGCAAACAAATGACGCTCGAAGCTTCCCAAAACTCTTGTCCAACAATTGCAGACTAGGAGCTACGCAGCACACATGGCTTCTACATAGGTAAAAATGCCTGCAGTGAGTCAAAGATCCAAGTAGGTCATGTCGTGCTGAAAAGTTTTAAAGAGAAAGTAAAAGATTTATTGGGAAGAGCTATTAGAACAAAAGAAACAAATGTTAAAATACGAAACAAAACACCATCAGCAAAAAAAACACCCTAAAAAAAAACAAAAAACAACCCCAAAAAACTAAAAAGCAAATTTTCAGTGCAATAATTTCCCCAGAATATTCATGTAACTTTCCAATATATCTTGATAGCCCAATACTTCCTAAGATATCTGTGTTCTTGCATTTTTGTGGATTTTGTGACTCCACAACTTGCAGCAATAAGTTCCATAACTGAAGTACATATCGCGTGAAGGAGTATTTCCATGTGCAAGTTTCAACCTTCCTACCAAATAATCAAGTAATTTTCATTTCTCTTTGATACTAATTCATGGCTAATGAGAAAGAGGTGCACTATACCTTTGTTGTCCCAGATACCCTGTTCTGTATTTGTGCAGGTTCTGCTGTAACCTTCATGAGACAAAGTACTCAGAAGGAAAATATCTTTTCTACATGCAGATGTTGCTTTTAATTTCATAAAATTATAGTGATGAAAGAATTTTGATAACAAACACTCAACTATAATAGTGAAATGCAGTACAGCAGATACTGTTTTGGTTGACAAAGTGAAACTCAAATTGTAGAGGCAGAGCCCCCAGTGTCCTAAGCCAGAACCTTATTGTGCTGACTACTCTGCCAGCACTGAACAAAAATCACTTCCTCACCCAATTTAACAACAGAGCAAGAGATAAGTGAATAAAGACACACAAAAGGAAGGTGAAGAACGGAAGATAAACTTGGATCCAAAAAGTGTCCTCTACATGTTTTGTGATTTTCCAAACTGGATTTACTATCTAACTAGCACTTGAAATTAACAGTTGGTTTTAAGAAAACTACAATTTGGTGACTCCAGGCTAAAACAAACAAGCTTAAAGTTGATGCAATATTAATAATCCAATCAGACATTTGTACCTGGGGGAGGAACAGAGATCAAGGTCTTGCAAACTACAAACAAAGAGAAGAGATAGTGCTGGAAAGATCATTTTTTTTCTGTCTAAATACTGCATTTGTTCAAATTCTTAAACACAAAGAACTGTGTCATCACTTCCCAGCATACTTTTGACTTCCATTTATGTTTCACACAACCCAGCACAATCTTCCCCCCACTGTCTCTCATTAGTGGCTCAGCAGAATGTAGCAGTATTTCTTTCACATGTTGATAATTTTTGACTGATAATTATTCCCCAAGTATGGAGAAAATGTTCTTTTACTTCTATTGCCCAAACACCCTGCTTTCATCAATGTAAATGGATCAATACTAGCCAGAGCTGTAAACTTAGGAGAAGCAACATATCTTGAACACATTCCACAGTGTTGTCCCAAGGCAAACTATCCTCTACTAATGCCTTGCAGCCACACATTGCAGGGTGCAATTCTTTAGTATACAAAGTATATAATTCTTTAGATTGTTTTTCCCCTCCTGAACACCCCAATCCTGGTTACCTGTCAGGTCCAGTGAAGCACAAACCTGGAACCATAAGCTACTCCCGTGCCTCCACGTGGCTCAGCTCATGCTGCTGTTTACTCCACGGTGCAGCTGTCTGGCAAGTGCAAAGGGCTGGTTTAGGACAAACGTTGACAAAATGTGTTCATCTCATCCTATTCAACATTATCATTAATGGCTGGAGTGATGGAATAGGTTGTGAACTTCTTAAACTGACAAATGAGAAGAGCCTGGAAAGTCTAATAGCATGCTGGCAGATAGGAGCTAGAACTCAAAATTACCTTAATGCACTGAAATTAATGATGTGCAGCTTCTGTGATGCAAAGAGCAGTACTTTTGAATTTCAGCCATAACCAAACTTGCAAATAAGAAATTCTTTAGGACAAATCTTATACTGGAATTTTTTAAATAGCAACAATCTTATACTGGAATTTTTAAATAGCAACTTTCTACATGGCATGGAATATCTCATTTCTATCCAGCATCAGAAAGACTTTATCGGCTATATTGTGTCTTGGGCACCACTCTTCAAGACAGATGAAGACAATGTGGAAAGGGTTCAGAAGAAAATGGCAAGAACAACAAATGTTTGATGTAGAAAATATGGCCCCTAAAGAAAGATGGAAAGAATTGACCTGTATAACCAAGAGAAGATTGTGGATGGAAAAGTGAGAAATAGTTTCCTTTCAAAAGGAAGGGCAATAACCAACTTCCAGTATACCACAGGATGGGAAAAGCAGTAACCATTTTAAATTATGGCAGGATAACACCAACATAAGAAAACAAAAAATAAGGAAATTCTAGTATCTTTAACAATTAGAAAAAAATGATGAGAGCTCATGATTTCTCCAGCCATAGCTGATTCCTCGTATTCCAATGTAGAGAGAGACTCAGTGAGTCCTCAAAGTCTCCTTGAGCACCTCCTGCTGCAGCCCCTTCTGCATTCATTGTTGAATCCACTTTGAGTACATGCTTAAAGGAAGGAGCAAGACAGATGCTTGCACATACTATTAGTTATTCGCGATGACAATACATTGTAACAATCCAGGTAGTGATCACTCCATTGGTTTTTTCCTGTTGTGTCCTTTTCTGATAAGATTTTTGTATTAATTGAGTAAAAGTATTTGTAGTCTGCCATATTAGCAAATGCATTACTTCTGTATTACTATCTTAAAAGTAGATACTATTTGAGATGCTTCTATTAAAAGAGAGAGCTAAGCAAAACATCAGAAGCATTAATCTCAAAAAGGCACTTATAGAGGGTCATGCAATGTAACAGGCATTGGAAAGAAACACTTTAATATAATATATTTTAGAAAATACAATACTGTCCAATGAAAGCTAAATATATGCCAAATACATACTAGTGTATGCATGCATTTTATCTCAGCAACCCATAAGAATTCTCAGAAGACATTTTTCTGCAACTAGGCTATAAAGAATTAACTTTATCAGAAACATGTTATCTATTTTTCTCAGGAAATAGCTGTGTAGTTATGCTGGCTGCAGCATTATTTGTTAATTTAGCACCATAAGAACTGAACAGAACTTAAGATTGACTTCAAATAATAATTTGAGTACAAAATCTGCATTATGTGGGAATGCAAATTGTGCTGACCACCTGTGTCAACAGTTGGTTTTCTTAATCTTTACTGCATTAAATATTAGTGAATGTGTGGTTTTAATAACCAGATACATATGCTAGGAATGAGTGGACAGAGCAAGCTGACTGTGACCAAATTACAACCTGGAACATGTTTGTCCAAGCCATTTGGGAAGGATGAACAAACATAAGATGGTTGGTCTTCGCCCCTTAGTGTTTGCTTAAGAATTAATATAAAACAACCATAAAAGAAAGAATTATTTCAAAATCAGTTTCTTATGTAAAACACAAGGGGACAACATAAGCCTTGTTCATTTAAAGTATTGCATAAGCCTAACAACTCTTTGTAAGGCAGCATCACAATAAAAAAAAAAAAAGTTGAATCACTTGCTGTATAGAGAGCCAAGTAACTTACAGTTTGTACTTCTTAATTCTATACACATGCCAATATAAAAATTGACATAATTTGTTTTATGAACTCGAGCAACTTGGGCAAGTGGTGTTTTCTGGGCTCTGTGAATTACAGCAGTTTACATTAATAGGAGTCAATGGATCTACAGGGCTAGGAAACTGCTCAGCAGAGCATCAGTTGGGCTCGCATTACAAATTTCTTAAAACTTGCTTGAATCAACACAAATACTGTGCAAATCTTGCCCTAGCAGAGGGTTCCACTAGTGAGGCAACAGTGACCAATGGAGCTGGGAATTCCAAGCCACAGAGTACAGAATCTCCTCAGTCAGGAATAACTAAATGGAGTTCAGTGCTTTACCTTGTTTCTTGTAGAGTTAACAGAAAGATAACACAGCCAGAAAGTAGCAAACAACTGGCAGTGATTTACCAAGGATCCAAGCTGATACCCCTGGCAACCCAAGAACTCTGTAAGTGACCAATAGGCCAATTACCAACAAAGGGAAAGAAGTAAAGAGATCAGAAAGAGAATGTGAGGGGGCTTTTTTCTTATTTTTTCCTAAAGCATTAATCAAGTACATCCCAGGTTTTAATCTTCTAGCATTTTTATTCACTTTTATTAGATGTTCAGCTATTTTCTTTAAATAAATTTCAAACTAGATAATTTTGCACATTAAAAAAAGACCAGCCTCTGTAGTTTTGCATAAGGCCTTGATGGAATGACTGACTCTGCATGTATAGTCATCCTTGCTTACAGGGTCAGTTCTTAGGAGTAACAGCTCATTTTTGCTGAAATTTCCACAAGAACATGGAATCTGAAGCTGGTTATGAAGACAGCTATTCAAAGTGTGAATGAACTGCATCCTGTTCCTGGTAGAAACTTAGTGAGAGACATTTACTGCCCTCCACACCAGGAAGGGGCTCCTTATTTATTTCAAGATAAGCTATTCATTTCTGAAGAGCACAGTATTTTAGCAAAGATCACAGACCTTTCTAAAACAGAAGGAAAATATATGAAAGAAATTTGCAAGGTGATGCAACGCACAAGTGTACTTGTACTACTATTAGCATAAGTAATTGAAACATATATAAATGTGTACATCTGATCCTGCAATCAGAATTATCTTCTCCTTCACATTGCAAACCATTGCATTGTGTTAATAAAAGGCAAAACATAGCAACCCCAGCGGGTAAATTACCCAGTCCCATGTGTCATTGAGAATCACCTCCCATTTAGTGTTCTATAAAAGCCATTACCTAGCAGTGATCATAGTGGTAAGGCAGCTTCTTATCCATCCCTTCCTTACTGAAATAAGCACAGCCTCATGGATCATCTCAGGAGAGTCATTCAATCAGATACCAAAGGTACGTGACTAGGTATATCAGACTACTTTACCAAGAGTTTTGTTATTTGTCATCTTGTCCAAAAGCAGCAATGATGTACCTTTTCAAGATACAACAAAGAAGGGAGAGCTCAAAAAAGCTTGTAGAAACAAAAAACTTGTATGCTTACTTAAGAAATTTGAATAGTCTTTAGCTTTTGGCCCTCTGTGTATTTAGAATAAAGTTAATACAGTTTTAACTAGGCAATTGCAAAATAGCATTTTCTAAAGAAATCTGGAAGTAGAGTAAGCATCCTTCAAGATATTCACAAAGTAGTGCTAATGAAAGCAGCATCATGCTAGTATTAGATAATCCTACACATTAAAAGCAAATTTTTAATGTTTTTCCCAGATGAAATATAATTTTTACTTACTACTATTTACTGTACCAGCTATGCACAAGAGCTGAAATATAGCTTAGCTTTGTGTTTGCTTAGATTCAAAGTTATACCTCTGCTGATTAAGATAAGTAGTGTTTTTTGATGGCACTGGACTTTTAGGTAGAGACATGCTATCATTCTCATACCTAGCACAGTGCATACAGGAGAAATGCTTGGAGAAAAGGCTCTGACTTGCCTGTGATCTCTTATTGGAGTCTACAGGCAGCAGATGCAGACATGTTAGGGATGTACTTCTCCCTCTGCTCTTTTTTGGGGAACATGCAAAGAACTCGTCCCACTGCCTATGTGCTAGTGAGAGAGAAGCCTACAGCAAAACCAGAAATCTTCTCCATTCCAGCACAATGTACAAAACCACACATGGCTGAACAGATTTGCAGTGGGCTCCAATAGTCACTAGAGCTAGGAGAGAAACTTTTTAACAGTTTTATAGAGGAAAACTGTCTGATGATAGAATGAGGTCATAGTAAATTACATAACATCAATCAAAGTTCTTACACAGACCTTAAAAGAACAACATAAAGTAAATTCTTTCCCTTCAGAAACATTTTGGAATCCAGCACCATCTGGGATTTCATTATTGCAGTCCAGAGGCTGTGGACCGAAGGAACACCCCAGAGTACTGATGTGGTCATGATGTGGTTGATGTGGCTCTGGCAGATGACTCTTACATCCCTTTGTTCCTTTGCCTAATTGTAATAGCCTCAAGTAACTCAGTCTTAAAAAGGCTCTATTCTCTTCCTACCACATATGCATACTATTAAACCTAATTTTTGGATAAAAACAGAAGAAGGGAAGCATTTAATTGCTGTTAAACACTGATCTAAATAATATATTTTCAGATCTTAATAACTGTCACAAAAACATTCTTCAAGTGACTGTTCTTATGGACTTAATGCCAAAATAGTGGATAGCAATCCGTAGAAGAAGCACTTTGCAAAAAGAGTGATCCAATTATGGTATTGGTTAAAAGGTACAAAAAAGGCCCATGAAATTTCCCTCATTTGGATATTTTGGAAGAGAAAATTATGTTTAAATCCATGTCCAAAAGATTATTCTGTATTAAGCATAGGAAAATTACTGCAGTTCCAGATATTTTTACATTATTGTTATAGCCCTTAAACTTAGCTTTAAAAATTGTTTGGTTGGGTTTATTTTAATATCAGTTTATAGAAAACATGACACAAATGAAATCTAAATCCATCCCATTCCAAAGTTTTGGAATCAGACAAGTGTGAACCTAAGAAAATTACATTAGCATTCTTTTGAACCTGCAACTTCCAATTCTTATCTTGAAAATTTTCATTGTGAAAGAGTGAAATTCCCCTTCATATCATTCCATATCATTAATTTTAAACCTAATTTGTCAGAGCATGTGTGAAGGACCAGTCCTTCATGGATTTGTTGCTGTAAAAATGAGATGTTTAACTTTTCACATAAGCTCATAGCAATGTATGGTTATAGAGCCCTGATGTATGTCAAAATCCTATCTCTTCCCCAGAAATGAACTACTCTTTTAAATTAAGGTGTTTAAACATCCATGGACTTGAAATATACTGAGCCCATCTCTTAGCACACCACTCTTCCATCCTCAGAAGCAAGTTCACTACTTAAAGAGAGAATTCACAATTAAAGGGAAAATTTGCATCAGAATTATGTGTATTCCTTTTTTAAGTGACAATTAAATGCTGATTTTTAAAGAATTTCAACTTTGTCCCACATTCAGGAGCACTGGAAAAGATACGATTGTGTTTAATAAAGAAACTGCTGCCAGATTTGCAAGACAGAAGGAAATATCATGAGGAGTTTGCCTCATCCACTTCACTTCATGGTGTGCATAAGATTGTCCACACGCAGAGCAAGGCTCGCAGGGTGCTGTGGCTGCTGATAGTCGCGGGCTGCCTTGCCATTGTTGTTTGGCAGATCTACACTCGCTTCATCTACTACTTCAGCTGGCCAACCACAACTACAGTGGTGGTTCAGTACGTGGAAAAAGTCAAATTCCCTGCTGTGACCTTCTGCAACTTGAACCGGTAAAAATTATGTTTGTTGTTTGCTCTACATCTTTACTGAAAGCAGTCAGTTTCCACAACCTGTTTGGACAATCACATAAACCAAGGAAAATATGGCTATGAGGGATATGTCTTCCACACTACCACATGGTACTTAAAAGAAGACAAAAATACAAGAATCAAGAAAGGGAGGTTGCTTTTAATCTTCCCCTTCCTTCAGATGATATGAGTTTTAAGTTTCACAACAGAAACTGGAATAGAAAAATGCTGGTGGTAGTCTTCTATGTATGAGTGTTGCCTTCCAGTGTAACTAAGGGACAGCCATCAGCCACATTCAAGTTCAAAATAAAAAACAAGATTAAGAATTATTTTAAATAGAAACCTCTTGCAAAGGTAAAAATCTTAGGTAAAACAGATACTCTTTTTTTCAAAGGTGCTCAGCCTTTACAACCCCAGCTGATGTCTGGAGTTTTTTGCAGGAGAAAAGCATTTGGGTTGTCTGGAAATCATGTGTCTAAGCAAGAACTTCACTACAGATTTCTACATTTGAAAACAGTGGCCAGCATTCAGTGCAGCCACTTCAAAAGTAATTTAGTGAAATTGTGGCCTGAGTTTTAGAGCAAAAACATAATTTAGAAACAGTTTTAGAAGCACAGAAAATGTATCTACATTTTTTTCCTCAAAAATTAGTAAACTTTCTCATTTCCTACCTTCTGCTAGCAGAATCAGCCAGAAGTCCAAGTCTCAAAGACCTGGAGCCATTCTGCTTCCCTATGCCACCTTCTCATGACCTGCATAAAGCTACCCTGGGTCACACCACATGATGTGCACTGCAGACAGAAGTCCCTCTGGCTGCAGTGGGCTGGCTGTTATAAACATGCCTCACTTCTTGTAACTATAGCAGCAGCACGCTGTAAGGAGTCAGCTACTGAGCACAGCGTTTTTCCATCCAAGTAACAGTTTGCTCCATATCCATCTGCCAGTCACGCTGTGCTTATTTTCCCCTCCTGTTTTTATTAACTGGGTTTTTTTCTTTAGCAGGACAAAGAGGCAAAGCACTCCCTTTGTCTTTATTTTTTTTGACTCAAATTCAGTTGTGAAGTGCTGTTCCTACTAATCTTATACAGGGGCATTAAGATCTATTACACAAATATGTTACACTAAGATATTTTTTAAGATATCTTTATAACTTCTGTAAAACCTTACTTTACTTCAATAAAGAACTTCAATGCTGTACATAAGGAAAGCACCACCAAAGTCTCATCATGTTTTTGAGACTTTTCAAGTGGATTCAAAGAGTAAAGATCACCTTTGATTTAAACCACTGTGCCACCAGCTCATGGGAAGGTACACTGTCTACAGTGGGGTGCAGTACCTTAGTAAAGCAAGTACATGAGACTACTGCAAATGTGCTTAGAATTCAGTTTTTCAAATTAAGGAAGACAGCTTTTTTTCTGAAAGGGACAGAGCTCTTCTCAGCTAGTTTCCCACATAGAAACACAATTGTTCAGTTTGTCATCAGTTCTGCTAATCTGGTTGTTGGTTTATGTGAATGGTTCATCTGCTCAGGGGATTTGGTTTTTAATATTTAATAAACAACCACACACAACAGAAATGTTTCCTATATGACTGACCAGAATAGCTATGGGAATGTGTCTATTTGCTGTTTCCAGATATAGAAGATACAATCCTAGAGATAGGGACTATTGTTTATTCATGTTGTAGAGATCAAACTACAACCTGTTGGGCAAGAATCAGTTACAGTTTGTGAGCAGACAGCAAATTGTGTCAAGTTTTGTCAAAAGCAGCCTTGAGGTCAGTCCTATAACTACAGAGTCCCAAGCAATTCTTTCTCCTTCTCACTGACAGGTTTCAAGCTCATGCAGTGAGCAACCTGAAAGTAATTTTTTTGATTTGGAACACTGTATCTGCAATTTTCCAAAAATTTGCTATGGAAGATAAATATTCTCAGGAGTTAAATGATTTCCTTCTTGGGAACAAGAACTTCAGCATCAAGGACTTTACAAGGAAAAATGGGTTTTATCTGAACAGCAGCACATTGCTAGAATGTGATTTTTTTGGAAAGCCATGTTACCCACAGGTAAATATGTTTATTTTATTAAAACAATAGCACAGAGAGGAAGGGGATATATTCTTATACTCAAGACATCTAGCTTTGCCACCTGCTCCCCTATGTTCCTTTGCAGTCAGAAAATAGAGAACAAAAGTCCTGCTCTAAATTACCCTGAGGGTCTCAATTCTCCCAGTGACTACAGAGGCAGCCTGCTGGACACTCTGAGCTGTAAGATGGGATTTCAATTTAAATTGCTCTCTGCCTAATGCCACTTCTGCACAGACAGCAGCCTTTGAAAGCTGTCATACCTCCAGGCTGTATCTAACAACCTTTTCCATCAATGGCCTATCATGAAGGACAGTTTGAACAAAGTTTTTTGTATGACATGATTCTGTAGTTTTGTTCTTGAGGTCAAGAATATAGACAGCCAGGGTAACAGGAATTTTAAATATTGAAAAGAAAATAGCCCATCTTTGGGAATTTGGGACAGCAGCCCAAAAATATGATCATCCCATTTTTATGTCAATTCTTCTGTAAAGGAATTCCCAATTTAGACAGAAAATAGGAACAAAGAAGTCAGGTCTATATCCTTTCAGTTTAATCTAACCTTTAGATGTGCTGTAGCTTCTAAAATTAGGCATTAGAGACTTCTCTTAACTGGAAGACACTAGTACTAAGAACTGAAATTAAAGTAATGAGATGCAGTCATATTAAACTACGAGGTGGTTTTGGGAAAAAATACAAATATTTTACTTTCATATGTAGCATGACAGTTTTGAAACAGTCTTCACTAAGCAGCTAATGGAAAAAAATTAAAAGTTATTTTTGAATATACAATTTCTATACAATGTAACAGGTATAGAAATAGCACAGGACCTCATAAAAATTATTCTGAGCAGCTCATAAGTATTAATAAACAATGTGAAATTTCTCCTTTAAACTTCATTTTCTATGGAAAGGGCTGAAATACTTTTGAATATTTCATGAAAAAACAGTTTTCTGATTGTGATATTGAGCACTTCGGAGTAAAAAAATAAAATAATTCAACAGCAACCCCAGTAGTCCCTTTCTCGCATTGTAATTAACTAAGGAAATGGCAAGTGTTCTTTCTTTCATTTTACTCTTCCCTATTTTCCTTTATTGAAGGATTTTGAACATGTTTTCACTGAATATGGAAACTGCTTTACTTTTAATCACAATGATCTTTCAGCAAGAAGAGTGAGTTTGTCTGGAAGAGGCTTACATTTGCTTTTTGATGTTCAGCAGGTACAGCTATCCTAAGGATTATAAGCAATGAATCATTAATAATTTATAAATTAGTGGAGGGTGGTTTTTTTGTTTGGTTTGGGATTTTCATTTGATTGGGTTTACACAGGCCTCCAGAATTTCATGCACAAAATTCAAAATCAAGTTTGAATTTTAAAAGTTTTCCAAGTGAGAAGGTATTTTAAAGGAAATACCCAAATAGAGATTTAAAAAGACAGAATTATTAGTGATTTTGTCCCAGCTAAGGGGAAGAAGGTTATGAGTAAGCATATACATACACTGTTCACCCACAACTGAAACATGTCATCAGAAGAGCTATTTCATTTTATACAAGCCATTTATTGTAATAAAAGACCCATTAGGGAAGGTCACCTGGTGCCAGTTTCTAAGTAGCACCAAATTTTAGTTACAGCAGCTACAGCAGCTCAGTGCCAGCCAAGACCTTTGCACTGTAAATTGTTTCTGACATTAGAATTGTCTTTGACCAACAAAAAGCAGAAAAGAGGGAATATCACCTTGTGAGAACAGGGAAAAAAACTAACAGATTGATAAATTACTTAGACATTGGCTTTTGTCTCTAGGAATTATGAGTCAGGAGTGAAAGGCTCTGAAGAGAATAATGAAAAGTTTAGTGAAATATGATGGGTAGTTGCAAGGAAAAAGAACAAATCTCCAAGTTATGAGTAAATGCTCATCTATGACTTCTTTTATTTAAAATTGGGGGATGACAAAAGGAATAAAAAGGTTAAAAGTTTAATAGCAACTGGAAGGAAACCCACAGAGGTAATGAACAAAAGAAATTCAAATCAGTTTGCTTCTATACTCTCCTGTAAACTGCCAAAAAATATTACTAAATAGCATAGTACCACTATAAATATAGCTAAAAGTTCAGATGGCAAGCAAAGCCAAAAACTACTTTAAACAATTCTTTTTGTATCAGGACAAATTCACTGATGAACCTACTCTCGGTTATACTGATGCTGGAATAACTTTTGCTATCCATTCACCCCAAGAGCTTCCACGTTTTGATGGTTTAGGATTACTGACACCAGTGGGGATGCACGCACAGGTCGCAATCCGCCAGCTGAAGGTAAGGACTTGGACATGGACTGGAAGTAGCATTTTTTACTGTCTCTAATTCTTTTCTGAAGCATTAACAATGAATCAGACATTTTGGAATGTAAAATATTTATTATGCCTTAGTGACTCCAAAAAAATAACATTTCCTCCAGACACAAATGAAATTACTGCTGTTTGGGGGAGGATGTAGTTGATTTTCCTAATTTGTATCTATCAAAGTCAGTGTTTCTTTCCTGCAGTTTTAAAACCTCATTGACAAATAATGATAAAAAGATGCCACAGAATTTCCCTATCAACACATTCTGCTACCATTAAGGGGGTCTCACATTCTTACTAGAATTCAAGCAGAGTGGAGTACCATTTTACACTAAACTGTCTAATCAGGCCCTACTTTTGCTGTGAGAGAGGGGAGATGAATTTTTAATCCCAAGAGCATGAACTCTAATTAAATCACAATGTTACAGCTTGTGTCTTCAAAGGCTTCCTTCAGCACTTCAAAATGTGAAAAAGCAATACCAATGTTTAAAACAGACACAAAAAATTATATCTTTTGTTATTATTACCCTACAGTCAATTATTCAAGAATATCCATGGGGAGAGTGCAAGCCTGATATAAAGCTTCAGTACCACAAGATTTATAGTACAAACGGATGTTTGCTGGAATGCAAAGCCCGGTACATACAGGACTGGTGTGGCTGTTTGCCATTCATTCTTCCAGGTATTTCTCAGGACTATCATCATACCACACACTGATCATCTTCCTAGAAGACCTCACATGTTACTGAATAATCAAGGAGATAGAGAATATATTTCAGGGAAATCTCCAGTTGATATTAATTAAAATTCCAAGGAAACAAGCAAGATATTTGGTCAAGCCTAGACCTAGCATCTGTGTCATTGTCTGTTCTTAGGAGTGTGAGAAGTATGCCTCAGGAATGTGAGACAGGTCTGTAGTCTTTAACCTGACTTCCTAAGGAGCTGGAACTAAATCCATAAGAAGGCATACATTTTCACACATAATCCAGACAGTTTACTTTGCAGGCAGGTGCTCAGCAACCACAGCAGAAGACCTTGCTTGGAGACAGAATCTCAGGACTCCCACAGGGGCCACAGAAAGAGCCTGGTAGCAGCAAAGGCTCTACAAAAGCCAAAAAGTTGTATGGAGCCTTCTAATCAGCCTCAAATGTGAAGCAGCAGGTGCATGCTGTAATACTCCCCTGAAGTATTCAGGCTTCTTAATCACTCTAGAAATGTAAAGCAGTAACACTGAGCTCTCACACCTTTTCAGCATTAATGACAATACTGTCACCCAAAGCAAGAGCTGGAACCCAGATCTCTTGCTCTTGCACCTCTTTTTTTCACAACTGGTGGGCAAGAAAGACACTACATCACAAGAAAAGTCACAAGAAAGCCTGTACTTTTTGACTCATTGTATTTTTTAAATATGCTCAAGCAAGGCAGAATGCTCCTAATAAATTAGACCCATTAATGTGCAATCTCTAGCCTATTTGTTTGATAACCCCTGGGAAAGGAGGCTGGCAGACTTCTGCAAACTGTCATGGAAAAGGCGTTGCCAAGGCAATTAAGTCTGGGTCTCCCATGCCTGGGGTGACAGCTTTATACAACTTTATACAAGGACAATCAGTTAAAGGAGAGCAATGCCTTCTGGAACCATGTGATAAATAGCTACACAACTTTTCCATGTGATGGAAAAAAAATTAAAAATGTTGTGAGGCCATCTGAAAATTTTGCTCTAGCTCAGCATATTATCTTAACCCCTGGGTCTACAAAAAGCTCCTGCATGAAGTTCAAGATTTCTGCAGAAACACATGGGATGTAATCTCATATCAAATCTACCTTACTTTGGTTCTGTTTTTTTTTTTTTTTTTCATTTCCACTAGGAAAAGCAGAAATTCCTGTCTTTAGCACGCTAACACAAAGAGTGAGCCACAAGCTCACAGGCAGTTCAGGCTGGTACACATAATTAAGGTGTTTGCTCCAACATCAGCCTCCTGGCTTGGCCTGTTGTGTCTGCAGCCTGTACCCCTGCTGGTGTTGGCAACTGCACTGTGCCCACCTGAATTGATTTCTCAGCTGTGTAATCATTAACATGAAGTGCTGAGCAAGATTTGATGACACTACATTTCAGTTCAGTACAAATAGAGCTAAGGGTTAGATGGTTAATTGAGGCTCCTAAATCTTGTTATTTATTTTTAGGAAATGGAACAGAATGTGACTTGCTGAAGTTTTACAAATGTGTTTATCCAGCAGTCTGTAAGTAACAACTTCATATTCATGATTTTCAAGCCAATTCAAAATAGTAGACAATATCAATAATGAAAATAATTTGAAATGGAGTCTATCCCAGTTCATTTAATAAAACAGAGACCAGAAAGAGCATGAAATATTTTCCCATTAAAAACAAACAAACCACACAAAAATACTCAAAAATAAAAGTGTGTATATATATATATATATATATATATACTAATAGAAGAAGTCATTTTAGCATTTAAAATGGAAGAACATCCAACTAATCTATTTTCAATTACCAAGCCTCTGGCTAGCATTTTCACATCTTCATGGAATCCTTCTAGATCTAATGTTGTATTCTTTGTGCAAGAAGAGTGAATAGTACAGTAGTAACAGGTTTGTTAACAGGTAAAACATAAATCACTGGCTTTAAGGTTTTAGAATTTTAAAAGTAAATTATAAATTTTGAAAGCACTTGAAATGCAATCCTTTTACATAGAAAAATAATCCGTGCACACTGGGTATGAAATTTGTAAGTCACTGCAACAGACTGGAAAATATTTAAAATGGTAATCTGAGAAGTAACTATTCATGAACTTCAGAAAGCTTTCTTTTTAATTGGTTTGGTTTATATTGTGTAATATGGCTCTCTCTAAGTGATTAGTAGACTCAGAATATGGTGGGGGGGATTGTTTTGATAAGGTGTGTGCAACATTCAGGCCACATCTACTACTGTGAACAATTACTTTTTTTCCCTGTAGCGATTTAAAAATGGATTCCACTAAGTCCACATTATTATGTGAACTTTAAAAGCCTGTCATGAGGGAAGATGTGTATTATTTTACTTAATAGATATTCAATAACTGAATGTCAAAGAAACCACAGAGCAATAAACCAAAATGACCCCAAATTCCTCTGAAGGATGGACAGGATTCAGAGCTGGATCCCAGAAGGTTTGTAGATATATGGTCCCCGGGATTTCATTTTAGGCACTGACTCTCCTTTGACAGTGTTGGAGCGGGAAGACATCTGATAACAGAATCTCAAGTAACAGCACACTCACCCAGTATCTGCAGGACCCACTGAGAACATTATTTTAGGAGCTCTAACAGCTGCCTCTCCAGAATAAAATCCACAACCCCAGCATCCCTGGAGAGTATTTCAAATCATCTGCTAACAGGCTCAGATGTCTCCTCTGTGCTTTGCAAAAGTGAGAAGCCCACAAGCAGAGCAAATAGACACAACCTCTGCCACCCCATAAACGGGACAAATAGAGCATCACAAGCAGGGGATCACAGTACTCATCTCACAGTGATGGCTTATGATTTAGGAAACATGCCTTACAATTTTTCATCCACATTGTTTTTCTCTAGCCTTTCCAGATTTCTATAAGGATTATTTTCTGTAATTCCCTGTTCAGATGAATGGCTCTCCACTTTCATGGCAGAATTTTATGACTTATCTTCAGTATTTGAAGAGACAAAGCTTTCCTTAAGCCTTCTTAGCTGTCTTGGGCCCCGTTATTAAATGGCAGGCAGGGGTTAAGGTAAAGTGAACTTAGCTTACCAAGGTTTGTGTAGTTATCAGATGATAGCAGACTACAGCTGGAATTGCTCTGGAAGTTGTTTCTGTGCACTGAAATGAGCTGCACAGGCACTAAGGCAACAGGATCAAGGATACATACCTAAGAATTTAATTAGAAAAATAGCACAGAATGTGGAAAGTCTTCTGTTGTCTTTTTGTTTACCTGTGGGTGAGAAATAGTAAGCACATAAAGCCCCAATGAAGGCAGAAAGAGGCGCTTAGAGGTGCTGTATTTCTTTGGAAAAAGTGAGAAAACTATATCAAAACTATTTCCTTTGTTTTTGTGCACCAGTTTCCTAAATGACAATTGCAAATATTTATTTGATCCTCCAAAACTGGTAAGTATCCACTTTTCCTGGGATAATTAATCCCCAAATTTATTGAAGAAAATTAAAAGTAATTTAGTTAAAGTTTTTTTAGTGTTTTTTAAACTGTGTGGTTTTTTTAGAAATAATATATAAAATTATTTCTTTTGAAATTGCAGATAATATAGAGATAAAAGGATTATGTACCGTAGGAACACACAATTCCACTTGCCCTGCCCCATGTGAAGAAACAGATTATCCTACCACTGTCACCTATTCAAATTTTGGAGGAGAAAAAGCCATGAAATATTTTTCTACAAAACTGAAGAAAAGCTCAGAATACATCAGGTAATCTTGCTTAACAACTTGTGTAAGAAAGAAATTATTGATTCATTTTAACCATGCTAGCAGAGCGTATGATGAAAATATGACCTTAAAAAGCTATTCTTATGTGGGTATTAATAATGTTATCTGTGAGAAAACAATCTCTTGGACAAAACTGGTTAAGATTTATAAAAATTCATATCTATATTGACATATATATGTATTATACAGATAGATATATTATATATATATATATATAATGTACTTAGATATACCTAAGACTGGATAACAAAGAATAGATAATGCAATTATAAATTACTATTCTCAATTACCTTCTCTCTCACTAATCTCTTATGTCAAAGTTTTTTAATCACTGTTTCGACTAGGAATAAAAAAATGTAGGGTTGTCAAAGCTATTCATAATCGATCCAGTAGAGAAGACAAATCTTCACACTTCCACAAATTAAGACACTGAAAAACCACAAATAGATGCTGTATAAAGTTTTTCTCCTTTTAGCCTATTCCCAAAGGAAGTTTTGCAAGTACTGAAGACCTGGGTTTTATTGTAGCAGCAATGCCAAGCATTTAATAATATTTTCTACTGTTAGTAGAATTCCCTAACACAATTTATATTATAGAAGCTATTTAGAAAATCTTCTGCATCAATTCTCACAAGGTAGCAGAAGAGTGAAACAAGATGGCTGTGTGTGACTGAAAGCACTACCCAGGAAAAGGAGGAAGAAAATTTAACACAGTTTCATATGCTGAACTGCCTCTTTCTCATAGTCAGAGATGTCAGCAGTACAAATAAGTATCAAGGCAGTTGCTACATGAACTCACAGTATACACAACATCAAAGCATGTTTGTCAACAACTGTAGAATATTTGGTTCATTAAATATCTATGAGTTTCCTCGTCTCAGTGACTTTGGTTTTCTCACTTTTGAAGCCATCAGTCTGCAAATGCTGGCATATGTTTATACATGCACAGGAACTATAAAAATCATTAAATGGTTGGGTTGGACAGGACCTTTAATGGTCAAATAGTCCAACTCCCCTGCAATAAGCAGGGACATCTTCATCTACATGGGGTTGCTCAGAGCCTTGAATGTTTCCAGGCATGGGTCATTCACCAACTCTCAGGGCAACCTGTTCCAGTGTTTCACCACCCTTGTAAAACTGCCTTCCTTACACCTAATCTGAATCTACCCCCTCTTAGTTTACAACCATTACCTCTTGGCCTGTATCTACAGGCCCTATTAAAAAGTATGTTCCAAATGAACATTATGAAAATTAAACTTTTTATATACAAACAATATTAATCCCTTGAGGACATTTTATCTTCATTGATTATTTTATTGTCTGTAAACATCATGCACAACTCAGTAATTATTCAATTAAGCAAGGGAAAATACAGGAAATTCCCCAGTTACCAGGCCTTAACCAATAGCAATCCTGCCAACATATTAATGAGTACACATTTCAAACTATAAAACACAGAGATGTAATTATTTCTGAAGATGCAAGAAGGAAAAAGTTAAATATTTATTGCATAGTTCTGCTAGTAAATCCATTACAAGGGCAGGAGCCTTACTAACAGAATCTAGGAGAATATTATTATTTTTATACCTTAGTGCTGAGTTTTAGAATTATCACCCGAAGAGATAGAAGTGATGATTTTGTATAGAAAATACTTTATTTTCATGAATATTGTTAATGAGCTCATTGTCACTGTCAAACCAAAAACCTGCAGCTGTTAACACTTCTGAAGAATCATGGTAGGGTTTGGGTTGGAAGGCACCATAACGATCTGGATCATCTGCAATCCCTGTGGGCAGGGATACCACCCTCTACATCAGGTTGCTCAAAGCCCCATCCAACCTGGCCTTGAAGACTGCTAAGGATGGGGCATCCATAAATTCTCTGGGAAATCTCCACCTTCACAGTAAAGACTGTCTTCTCAGTATCTAATCCACACCTACCCTGTTTCAGTTTAAAGCCACTCCCCCTTGTCCTATCCCTACATGTCCTTGTAAAAAGTCCCTTTCTGTGTTTTTTTGTAAACCCCCTTCAAGTACTGGAAAGGTTGGAAGGCTGCTACAATATCTCTCCAGAGGCTTCTCTTTCCCAGGCTGAACAGCCACAAGCCTCTCAGCCTGTCCTAAGAGGTGAGGTGCTCCAGCCTCTGATCATCTTCATGGCCTTCTCTGGGCTCTCTACATCCTTTTTACGATGGGAGCCCCAGAGCTGGACAAAACACCCCAGGGGTTCTGTTCTGCCCCTCAAGTCACTCCACTCTTGTGGACCTGCCCTCAGTGTTCTGGTCACTTTTCCTTTGCTGCAGTCCAGGCTGACTCTGAGGGCTGCAAGTGCACATTGCTGGTTCTTGTTCAGCTTCTCCTCAATGAACACCCCAAGTACCTCCACTTAGGGCTGCTCTCATTTCTATTCTCTGTTCAGCCTGTACTTGTGCCTGTGCTTGCCCTGATCCAGGTTCAGTATGTAGCACCTGGCCTTGCTGAGCTATGTGAGGTTTGCACAGGCTCACCTCCCAAGCCTGTCCATCTCTCTGGATGGCATCCCTTCCCTCCAGCATGTCAGTCACACCATACAGCTTGGTGTCATCGACAAACTTGCTGAAGGAGCCCTCAGTGCCACTGTTCATGTCACTAAAAAGATGTTAAACAGCACTGGTCAAAATACTGTATTTGGACATTGAGCCATTGACATTGTTTTCTTCCAAACCAATTATTTTTATATTCAGTTTAAGACTTGGGCAGAGTGTTTCTACAGACAAGATACTATAAAGAAGAGCTCTTCAGTCAGTCTTGCTTCACAGGTCTTGCTCCAACTGAGATTTACCTACTCTTCTACTTTTGCAGCAGGCAAGAATATAATTAGATAAGTGAGGCTACTAGCAGAGGGTAGAACTGAACATCCAAATTTAGGACAAGCATGCTCTGCACAAACATGCCAATTGAAATTAACCCAATTAACTATGCAGTTGCACATAATCAAGAGTCGTAGGCTACACTTTGCTTGACATTTCCATTCAAGTTTCTCTCAGTGACCTTTAAAAAATATGATTCTGCCCCACAGTACAGATCGAGAGCTACCTTTCCAACACAACAGGAAGATCTACTCCTGATAAACTGCTGTTTTGTTATTACAGTTTAGGGTTTTCTCCTCTCTAATGTAGCTAATTTTGATAAAATTCATCTAGCTTTTCATTAAAGACACCATGCCTCTCCCTGAACTCAGACCATGCTGACAGATGATGGCAAAATTGAGCAGAACTCCTGACTGTTTCAAGTAAACTCTATGTATTTGTCATTAGGCAAAACCTTGTGCGTATTGAGATTAAATATCATGATCTGAGCTACAAAATAACACAGCAGCAGAAGGCCTTGACTATCTCTGAGTTGCTTGGTAAGTGAATGCTTAGTATTTATTATTAATAATCAATCTAAAAACAATAATTAAAATAATTAAAAAAACACCAGACAACAAAAAATAGCCATTTTTTAAATTCTCTCACCTCCTCAATAAAAAACTATGTGGAGTTCTGAACAAGTCATAATTTTTATACTATAATAGTAATAATCATGTCTGTCTTGTGGTAATTTTTGGTATTGTCTCCTGTCATTCCATTAAAGAAGCTGTGGTATGGACAGCAGCTGAGAGCAAGAATTAAGTTTGGCACTAGTTTATGGTTCTGTCACAGACAGGACGGTAAGAACAGTGACATTTTAGGGATTTGGAGAGGAGAGGGAGGGCATGGGGATGAGAAGCAAGGGAACAGCTAAAAAGGCATAGAAGCAGTAAATATTTTAGGTATCTGTTTCACAGTAGGATGTCTTGTGTGGTACTTGCTTTGTTTAGAATTTTCAAAACCACATTAGTCTTCTTCAGTAAACTTTCTTAAGGATATTAATTCTGTTTTCCTAAAGTGATGGATTATGTATATTGAATTTATGTAACACTTGAGCCTGGCAGGGTTTTGTTTGCTTGCTAGACTAAACCAGATGATTTGTATGACATGTGTTTATTTCCTTCTATTACAGCCGATGTAGGTGGCCAACTTGGATTGTTTTGTGGTGCCAGTATGATTACAATCATAGAACTGTTAGAGTATATTTTTACTAACTTCTGTTGGATGTGCATCTTTCTTCTTTTGAAAGCTCCTGAAATGCCTCAATGGAACAATCCATCCCAGAACCAACCAACACATAAGGGAAAAAAGAGGGGAATACAAGAATGTTAATGGCTTGTAGAAGTCCGGAACTAATTGATTTCTTTTTAAGATACAAAGGACTGTAGAATTTTACACTGCTTCCTTCTCTGCTCTCCTTATTCTCCCTACTATTTCCCTAAAATTATTTAACTGTGCTAAATAACTTTAAAGAGTGCATTTCACAAATGCACTCTTTATATAAAGAAAAAATTCATATAAAGAAAAATTCAATCTTTAAATTTTATTTTTAAAAAATATTTTAGAATAGCATAGCAAATAATGCTGATATATTATACAATTTAGCATTCATAACTGAGTTTTTATCTTGTGTTTTGAGTGATGAGAAATAATACACATGCCAAATTATCTCACAGAAATTTCTTGATTACCATAAATATGGAGCATTGCTATTCTTAAAATGCTGGTTCCTTTTTAACAACTTTTATAGTAGGTTATCATTGTAACATCTTCCAGTGAAGAATATGGTAACTTCACCTAGAACAATTAGGAATATGCCTAATAGCAATAAAATTTACAGTACTATCTATCATCAATCTGCCAGCTACTACAGAGAACCACAGGGTATCCAAGTGGATGGCAAGTGGGCAAACATGGGTTGAGTTCAGTGTTTAATGTCATGAAAATGATAATAAAGGCTAAAGGCTTCATCTAAATCTTACTAAATATGAGTCTGTAATAATTTTATGACTTTGGTACCGATTCAGGGTTCCTGAACATTTAATTATTTGAAAGTGTTTAGAAGAGCTTCTGTCATTTCCTGCATCTGTTTGGGCCTATAGAGCAGTAGTGGTTTAGTCTTATGTTTTTTTTTTAAGAAGACTGCAGTGATTAAATAAAGTAATAAGTGTATTTACTGAAGAGCCAAGTCGTTATGGTCAGATATAAATGAAAATGCTACTGCTTGGCCATCATTGGCAACAGCTTCCCTTCAACATGAGCCCTAGGATTTGCAATTCAGGAAATAGTGGAAAAGTTTTTGCTACCTAGAAAGAGATGCCTTGATTTTTGTCCTCTAACCTTAAGCAGATCTCAAAGTTTTTTTTCTCAATTCTTATTTATTGGTCACTTGACTTCTGCTGGGATTTTTCCCCCTCACTGTTACCAAGCACAGGCACATTTGGCTCAGCACCCCTATAAAAAGGTTGTTTTAACCCCACTGTCCAAGGTGTGCATTAGCCAACCCAGAGGAAGAATGGAAAGAACAGAGCAAACATACTGCAATATTTCTCCAAAGACTTCTCCCAGCCTCAAACAGTTTCTAACTGTGGAATTCTTAAGCCAAAAGAAATTATAGGTTTGGAAGTAGGAACCAGGTATTATCTGACTTCTGGATAAAAAGAAAAGCAGGGTAAAGTTTAAACATAGTAATCAAGCACACCTTGTATTTCGGAGATCAAAGTGTTTTGTAGCTATCAATCACAATGATTTGTTTTGTTTGCTTCTATTAATAAGGGCAAAATAAAATAACATCAGTATTGTAAGGACTAAAGAAAACAAAACTGGTATTGTTTCTGTCCAAAGGTTCACGTGAAATGAAGCACAGAACATGCTAAAAAAATCAGCTAAAAAAAGCACCAGTCCCCAGAAAGGGAACGTACTGAAATCTTTGCTTTGTTTAACAAGACTAAAATGACTTTTGCTTACTCCACTGACTTTGGACAAGGACAGCTGAAATCACAGCTTGGTTTCAGATTTTTTTAACATATGTGGCAAAAGGAGTTCTGAAGAAAGAACAAAGACTTGTTTTGCCCAAGGTCAAGTGACAGACTTGGATGTATTTTTTTCAGCAATGGTTTGTGATAAGATTATATAAAGCAAATTATTCCCCAGCACAGCTAAATTTAGCAAGAGTGCTGTGCAGCAGAGCAGAAGTAAGGGTGCTTTTGTATTTTGATGTATGACTACTCCTCTGTTATGGCAATAGAATTTTAAAAAGTGTTAAGGAAATGTCTGGCTTTACTGACTGGGTGACAATGTCATATCTGTAAGGACAGCAGAAGCAAGTTATTTTAACAGTTTGAACAGATCACCTCCTAATTCAGCATTACTTTGTCACTTATTTATTCAGTTTTCCTTTTCACGAGAGCATATCCATGCACCAAGTAAACATGCTGGCAAGCTTTTCCCATACCAATTGATTCTAAAATGGTAGTCCTAACAATGAAATTAGTTTACATGTTTGGGAAGGCTCCCTTGGGCTCCTCCCAAGTCCTTGTCTAATTTGCAAAAAAAGATGCAACATAGAATTTTGTAAAAAAAATTTAAAATACATTTTAAATGCATTCTGTAGAAGTAATTAAACTTTAATGCTGTAGAGAATCTCACACTGTTGCACAGGAAAGCAATTTAGTTATGTGGATAATGACCTGTGTTTGGGAGCTCTGGATATTATAGTGTTGCATTCACTTAAGGATTTTTATAAGTATTTTTCACAGTATATTGTTTATATATAGAATTTTATTTATACATAGTATTAATTTTCAACCCCTGGTCAGAGTGTCAGAGCTCCTTGTACAAGGAAGACAGACTTAAACTATCAGAGAACTTGCCATGAGAGAATGGGGTGGGGGAAAGTTGGAGATATTCTATTGCAATGTACATGGCAGACAACTCTAAAGGAGTGCCAGAAAGTAAGGAATTATCCAAGAAGAAAATGCATTTTTTCCCCAAAGAGTTCAGGAGACAGATCTGGCACTTGCTTATTTGGCAAAGTAAAATGTAGAATGTACAGAATGGTCTGTACAGAAGGATTTGGAGCAGACTCTCATGGCATAGATGAATTCACTGCAACATTTCACCAGTAGATGCCCCACTTACCTTAGGCTGCTGCTCACAAGGCTTCTCTTGCACAGTTGATTTCTCAGCATTTAGAGAATTTCTCAGTGTAACTGATGCCACATTGTTTCCCCCTGGTTAATGATGTATCAGCTGGGGAAATATTTCAAAGGAGCTTCTGACAAACCTGCCATTATTTAGACTGAACTAAGATACATCATCTTTGCAGCACTATGTTTAAATTGATTTCTGAGGAAAACAAACAAACGTATACAGCCATCCCCACTCTGCATAAAAACAAGCTACCAAAGCATTTTTTAAGGAGCTTATACAAGCCAGCTATCTAATGTTGCTTAAGAAAGTATTATCCTCACCAACTCTTTAAGGTGAAACTATGCAGGGGGAGAAAATTATTTCTCTATATAATCACTCAAGTTTGAAGGTAGTTAGCTGTGCCTACACCCTAGCCCAAGTGTTTGCACTGTGTGTGAATCTGGTGTTGGCAAAACTTCAGAAAAGAACTCTTCCTCACCTGAGCAGTACCTCATGGCAGCATGAAACAGCCAAGTTTCTCACAAATAAACATTGCCTCACAGTTGCTCAGTACTTTGGAAATACAAACATCATCATGCAATTCTGAAAACTCCCAGACTAGCATAAACCATAGTGTTTTACTCACACTGTCTCTCAAAGTGTGAAGTGTTTCCAGAACTACATACTTCTGTACACAGAAGTGAATATCCCTTATTAGACTATAAACATTAGTACATCTTGTCACACTAACTGTATCCAGAGTTAAACACATTTTTTTGTGTTGGCAGTTGGTGTGCTTAATAAACTCAGGATACAGGAAATATTTCCAACTTTGTACCATACTAACTACTTAGTGCAACGCTGAAACATGACAGGATTATAAATGATAAATTCTGTAAAGTGAGGATACTGCTGCAGATCCAGGGTTAGCATCACATCTTGTTCATGTTGCATATGGCCATCCTGTGCTGTTAACCCTCTTGCACTCTGTCCCTTTATCCAGCAGGATATGCTCACCTCTGTTCACTCCTCACTAAAAGTAGTCACCACAAGAAGGAAAGCTTCTTTTGAACACAAAAACTTCCAAATGGCTCTTCCCACTACACACTTTATGTGATGTTTAAACAGGGAATTGATGTTTAAACAGGGAATCCCCATCTATCTCGTCTCAGGATAGAAATGCCCAAGGTGGTGGGTGTTTTGTGGTTTTTGGTTTGGTTTAATTATTTTTTAGCATCTTTTGGGATCAGGACTACTTCCACAAAACTCTGAAAAAGAGGTTCACACATGTAGCTATTCCCTCCCGAGTGAAATTCTAAAACAATTCTATCTCCAGAGAAGAATGTAATTTTGCAACAGGAAGCCTGGTTAAGTGCACATCTAGTTTTGTCTTGCTAATTCTTGGGGGTTACTTTCAAAGAAATAACCCTGAGCTCTAGAAAATTTAGTACCACTTCCAGTACACTTCAAGGTCCTTAATGGAAAGGATGCTAGCTCACATTATAATTTTGTGACACTCAAAGCCACTCTCCCTTTAGCCAGTCATTTTGAGTTAAAGAGAGGAACACTAAATAAACACAGGCTTGTCCCTTGTGGATATCAATCTCAGCACAACATTGGGTTTCCTTATCTACTTCTACCTATATAAGACTTGGAAAACAGGTGTGCAAAGCAGGATTGATGATTACACACTTGACCATTCCTGATGTACCCCTCACATACTGTGAATCAGCTGGAGATAAGAAATGGGAACTGTTACAAGGAATGTTCTCATGGACAAGCTGTAAAAAACGTGGGTTTGTCAGGGCTGCACACATACCACAGAACATGCAAAAACAGTTCATTAAAAATGAAAATTTTCTTCTGGTGTTTTTCAACTGAACCCATATGCCTCCCACAACAATGACTCAATTCTTAAGCAGTTTCCATAACTGATACTCCCAATAACTTTAGCTAAGAATTTTTAAATAACCCCTTTTCCTGAGGTAACCAACAGGTCTAGGTGTACACTATCTGCAGAGAAAACATACTTAGAAGGCCCACTGTGAATCTTGGCTAATAGGACTAGCCCAGGAATGCTTTCCTGTTGTTCACCTGGCCTGCTACATTTTTAACCCTGAATTACACTGAATGTTTCTAGACCGCTTGCATAGGACTCATATTACTTGCTAAACATTTTGATCCAGAATTCAGCAGAAATTTTCCAACCTTAACATGCCAACAACTTCAGACCATGCCCACGTAAATATACAGTTCACTTATAGATGGTGCATGCTCTAGTCTGGAAGTGCTGCATCACATCTTAATCTTCTCCTGCAATCTGAAGAAATGGAATTTTCTGGGGTT